GGGAGAGAGTTCCAGAGGGAGGGGGCAGCTACAGAGAACGCTCTGTCGCCCCAGGTTCGGTGCTTGGTCCGGGGTGGTGGAGTCAGAAGGTTTGCGTCAGATGAGCGGAGGCTGCGGGAGGTGATGAAGGCGTGGATGAGGGTTTAATGATGATGATAATGATGAATCAAGGTTCCTGATTCCTTGAACAGCAGCTCCTGTGTTGGTACAAAATGATACAGAATGTGGTAGAGCTGTCTGGGTAATTGTAGACAAATGTCGGTGTGTGCGTGGGGGGGAGGGACACTTCCTAATTATATTTAATTATTCATCAAATATGAATAAATCCCTTCTGGCAACAAAATGACAGGCTCTACACCAGCTGGAACATATGAACCACGTGGTCCATGTTTTGCAAAAAGATACAGATAGACTGAATTTCCTTTGATGTCGTTTTGTGCTATCACATTTTCACAGAAAGATGCAGGGTTTGTATTAAATACCTGATGACACTGCAGGCACAAGTGACTCAGATCTGATGTTTTGATGACAGTGTGAACAGCACAAATCACACTGAATCTGATCTTTATGATTCTGATTTGGGCCACTTAGACCCCGTTCAGTGTGCAGGCAAAAGTGGCCCAAATCTGACTTTTTTGCCCATATGTGACCCATATCTGATTTATGTATGACAATCTGAACAGCACAAATCCGATTTTTTCTAATCCGATCCAGGCCACTTTCATATGTGGTACTAAATCGGATACATATCTGATATTTTTCAAAGTGACCTCAGTCTGAAGGGTCATGTCGCATTTCATCCGACTTTTACGTCATTGAAGTGAGACTGACGTCACAATTCTGCCCCGGAGGAGAAGGAACGCAGCAATATCATAATCATCATCATAATTTTGTCGGCTTCGATTGCACAAATACTTCAAAATTTATTGTGTGACGTCACGTCTTCTTCTGTGCATGCGGGTCACTTCGGGACCGTAGACTGTTCACACTGGAGTCTGATGGCGGTCGCATTTAAATTATAATGTGAACAACCACGCAAAAAAAACGGATCTCAGCAAAAAATCAGAATTGAGTGTTAAGACCTGCAGTTTGACCATAACCTTTCATATCCTGGCCAGACTCAGGTCTGATTCTTTGCAATGTGACCTCATTATGAACTGTCATATCAGAATTCATAAGACTGTTACATCACTCTACATCTACCAACCCCGACCTGTTCACACTGGAATCTGATACGTGCCACATTTGAAAAAAAAAAACAATAAATAAATTGTGCAATAAATCAGGCTTGCAGGGTGAATGCAGCCTTAGGGGCCGATCACACAAAGATGTTAGAAACATGTCGCCAACAAAACCTTTGCTTTTATTTTGTATGGCGCACATAGCATGTGCTATTGTCTTGCACCATGCATCACCGTTTTCTAGCGGTTTTTAGACGTGCATAAAAGTTTAAATATTCACAATTTTTCAGCACAAGGTGCGGAGTCCCGCTACTCGTCAGTGTCACACTTGGCCCAGACAGCCGGTGAAATCAAGAAAAAGGCGGGCTTTACTACTTCCTTCCTGTTTTGATGGCAGTAAATAGGTTATCTAGTTAGCTGCTGGAATGTGAGAGTGCTACAGAGCAGGGGTGTAGTGGGGGGTACATCCAAGTAAACTCAGTTATCCACCTCTTTAAATATGAAGTTTACTCATCTAGAGTTTGATGTCTGTTTAACATTATATTTGATTGCCCGTACAGTGTTAATACTGGTATTCCATATCTTGCATCCATACTTGTAATAATGATAATGCATGGTAAATCAATCCATCCATAATTATTACACACAGTTTGATGGTTATGGTGTACTTTAAGTCAGACCTGTTGTCCTCTTCTGACATTTCTGAACATTATGCAGTTTGTTAATCAGATTGACCCACACTACTTTGTGGGAGGCTCTTGAAGGTTAATGCTTCTCCTTCTTTGCCATAGATTGTAGTGGCCAATGTTGTCCAAAAACTATTCAAAACACGTCAGTGACAGTTGCACTGGCTGACCATGATCACACACACACACTGTAATTTATTTTGACTCAGTCACACTTAACACAGTCCTGCTGACCCAAATACTTACTTGAAAATAGTCCCCAACAAATATAACAAACTGCTCCTGTTTGAGTAACGTTTGTTAAAAACTTTTTTACGAATGAACTTATATATATTTGTTAGCTGTCTTTTATGTCTTCAGTTGGAAAAAATGGGCTTGGAGCCGAGAGCCACAGACAGAGAAGTCAGAAAGTATTTAGAGATGGACTAACACGTTGTTGTGTTTAGTATTTTCATGGGATTTGTTTATAATGTGGAAATATAGAGTAATGTTATTCTTATCCTTCATTCCTCTCTCTGGTGTGGTACTGAATGAATGAAACATCAGATTTCAACTAAAGTCTAAATAAATATATAATGAATACTTTCTCTAGTTTTTGCCTGCAAAATTATCACACTAGTTATCAGTCCTAAAAAAACATCAAACAGATGATTAGAAATCATTCAATGAAGCAATCTGAAGAACAGGCATGTAAATCCATCTGAACACAATTTCTCTGTAGGTATCGCTCTTATGCTATACTCACACTATTGAGGGGAGCTGTAAACTGAAGTCTCCAAACACTGTAAAACCTGATGAGTTGGTTCAACTCAAACTGTTTGAGGAAACCAGTTGCCTTAAGCTGTTTAAATTTATTAAGCATGAAAAAATTTTTATTTGAAAACAAGTAACTAATTTATTGTTAAGGAAAGGTAAATTAAGTTAATTGTATTAAAAGTAGTAAGTATATTACACTGATATGCAGCATTTCTCCAAACTTATTTAAAATGTGTTAACAGAATTTATCTGAATAAAGTAACATAAATGCATTTTCTTTATACAAATGTTACTACTTAAATTTAAGTTTTCTTACACCTAAGCAAATCATTACATTACCTGTGCAAACAGCTGACATAAGATTAAAAAAAAATTAATAATTATCAAAATGGCAGCCAATTAATTTTGGGACTTTGTGGTTTACATTTTGTAATGATGTAAAGTCAACTTAAAGAAAATGATTCAATGGAACAAACCAATACTTAAAATAGTGCACAATTTAAGTTCACTCAAAAGAGCTCACAGTTCATTTTTGAGTTGGGAATGAGTGACTCAAATTTTCTTTGGAGGATTAAATTATGGTAGCTTACTTATTATATTAAGATATGCTGTTAGGATGATTTATAGTGCAGGAATATTCTATGTATCAGCTGTATTTATAGTGCCGGGGTCATGTCATATTTAAGATGGGATGCAGAGTTAATAATAATTCCACAATCTCCCACAATAACTAAATAAGAAGAAACTGCTTCCAGTCTTCATTGTCCTGCTGTGATTTGCTTCCCAACACTCTTATTTGAGCCCTCTGTGATCTGTGCTGTGACTGTGTTCTTACTGCTGGGCATTCATTATGTCAGTCAGCTACAGAAGGTTTGTGCTGGCACACATTACAGGTCAATACAACATGTATATGGAGTGAGAGTGAGACTTACCTGTGGTCTGATCCTCATAGTGTCTTCATGGTAGAGATCCTGTACTCGTACTGTGTCACTGCATTCAGGTCTGCTTCAGCTATTTTTCTGACTACTGCTCTGTTGTCACTTATAGATTCTGGGCCAGCAAAATCATGCCAGTCCAATAGGGGATAATGCTCTCTCTCTCTCTCTCTTTCTCTCTCTTCCTCATCCTTATCTTCCTCTGATTTACAGACACTCAAAGATCGTTATTACTGACAATATCTCTGTCCTAAAAAAAGCATCTGCAGTGTTGCCTTTGGTAGGAATCAGGGCTGATGGACAAGCAGGTGCCATACTGAACGTTGGAGGACTATCATGATCTGTTAAACATTGAGTTAGCAGCTGGGTTTCATAGACTTCCTAAGTCTAAGTATGTTGGTGAATTGTTCCAGGTTCTCGCTCTTTTTAACAAATCATTTTTCTTGACAATACAGGACAGCACTTGCCTACAAATGGTCATATAAGCTGTGATTTCGGATAAATTGACTACATTAATGTGTCCTCAGCCTATAAGTAACAGTTCAAATCTAGTATAATTTAACAGAAAATCCATCTTTTTGACAGTTAAAGTGTTCATTACACGTACAATTAACATCAGTGTGTACATATAAGAATTTTGCTCACAGCTCTTGAAAGAATATACTTGGTGACGAAAAGATCACTGCAAGTGAGTTCCACTTTGCATGTCATAGAAAAGGAATTAAACGCCTGTTCCAAATAATGGCAGGTTGAGTTCAGTGATTGAAGCAAATAAAAGCCCAGGCTATTAATTTAAGTTGTATGGTATACATATGGAAGATAAATGGTACTGTTGGGTCTCTGTAAATGTTATAAGGAGTTCGGTCTAGACCTGCTCTATTTGAAAAGTGTCCTGAGATAACTTCTGTTATGAATTGGCGCTATACAAATAAAATTGAATGAATTGAATTGAATATAGCTTTGAGAATAAATTACTTTGTAAAAATTAATCAATTGTAATTAAAAAAAAGCTGAAATTGAATTGAATTGCCAAAAAGATAATATAATAATAATAATATAGATAATAATAATAATAATAACAATAACACTTTAGTTTCTATAGGCTTCTTAATCTTATCTCAATACAATACCATACAATACAATATGCGCAAAGATAGCATATGAAACCCCATAGTATCTTGTTTACTTATGTAATCAATTCAGGGAAAATGTATACCCTTTATTTCATTTTATAATTATTTATGTTATTCCCAATTATCAGCTTTCCTTTATTAACTGTCAATTATTTGTATAACTTTGTCACATTTTGTCTTCCCACTATATATGAATGTGCCAGTATACTAGCAGCCTTAGCTTTATCAGCGACTAAAACACCTCAAAGCTTAACAGCGTTAAAATATAATGCTTCTAAATAAAATGTGACAGTAGGAACGTTTTTCAACTTCTTTTGTATGGCCTCCGGTACAGCAGGGGGCAGTGTGGGCTGTTGGCGCGTATCTCGGCCGTCATATACACTGTAGAAGAAGAAACAGCACAGGAGTGCTAGCAGCTAGCTTAGCTAACATATTTAAAGTAACGTTAGAGCATGGACTAAAGACGCCTTTTAAAGACCCTGAGCCTTTGGACACTCACAGCTATGGAGAAAACGTTCAGTCAGTGGAAGAAGCAGTGTGTGAACAAGCTGGACCTGAGTAAGAAGGGCAGTGTGGATGCGGACATTGAACATGTAGTGTCTCTGCTCAACAGCTGTGAGCAGTACTTCACCACCAGCTCCTGCTCCGGGAGAACCATCCTCATCGACGGGGTGAGAGGGACTTCACTCCAGACTGCACTGCGAGGACGAGTCCTCTGTTGTCACGTTACTAACTAACTAACGTTAGTTAGCATAGTGAGTTAAAGAGGCTGTCACGTAACGAACATACAAGAGCTCGTGGGGAATGCACACATGTAACATGTGCAGGGATTCCCAGGCTGTCAAATACCGGTGCTGGGAATGACACTGTCAGTGTATAGTGAAGGGTTCAGCAATAATCATATCCAATATTTTAGATCTGACCAATATCTTTTAGACACAGGCCCTGAGAAAAACTGCTGGTGTGTGTGTGACACATTACAAGGTCCACTTCACATCTAAAGTTTGCATATCGGGAACTTTAGTTTTCAGAACCAAACTAATACATTTGTTATTAAACTTGTTATCCTTTCATTTTAATTGAATTAATAATCATTAATCACTTAATTTAACAGTTCAATACATGAAGGTATTTTGGGTGAACTGAATCAGCAATATCGCATTACAAATCTTACTATAGCTTCTATGAGTACAATTCAGATCAGATTGATCTAAGAAGGCCTGTAGAATTCAAAAGGTTACCATTGCAATCCAGTAAATCATTTTTCAAACAGAATGCCTTCCGCATAACAATCCCTCCTGAATATTGACTATTAATGGTAATCACTCTATTGTTCCATGAAGTTGATTCACGAGCAGAATAATCACGAGTAAATATCATCTGTGGGGTTTTCCTTTGGCATGAAAAATATAATAACATTATTATTTAAATTGAAAGAGATTGTATATTACCACAGCAGTAGTCTGGTATATTGGCACTGGTCTGAGTTCCCCGTCCTGTCTCCTCCCCTCCAGGCTCCGGAGAGCAGTGATGTCCAGAAACAGAACTGTGTTTGGCTGTTTGTCTCACACCAGAAATGCACATCTGATGACCTGGTGAGATTCAGTGGACCTATATACTAGTGAAACTTCATCTGATAATATGGGTTTAATATTAAGAAGAGTGCATTGTGTTTGCTGTCCAGGTGTCTGGTCTGGCCAGGTCCAGAAGGGATGCAGTGTTGAAGTTCGAGCCCTTTGTGCTCCATGTTCAGTGTAGGCGACTGGAGGACGCACAGCTGATGGTGAGAATGACAGTTTCTGTGTCTGCCTGCATGTAGTGCTGAACTACTGCAGTGCTGATTTATGCACTGTGTACTCACACAACATAGCTCTACACATGTCTGCTCTTTCACTGGCTATCATACAAAGCAATGTGCAAGTGCTGCAGTCTGCTCCATTCATTTGTATAAGGGTTCATTCTTACTGATTGAGATTAAAGCACCGTACCAGTGATTTTAACATCTTTAATCAACCATTACATGCACTTGACATTATGGTCAGCTATCTCTTAAAGCCTACCATCCTGTTTATGTGTAGGCTGATGTCCTTCCTTCCAGTGAGCCATTGATTTCAGTGCAGTATGAACATGAACTTGCAGAAACTTGTAAGAATGATGCCATTATAAAACTAGACATATTCCAATACTATTTCTTCCTTGCTAATACTGATTCCTAAGCTTTGCAAATCAGCCGATACAGAGTACTGGTCTGACACGTGTGCTAAAAAATAGATGTGTGTATACTACTAACCCTGTATGATTGCTATCGGGGCTGTATGGCCTGGCTCAGGTTACACACTATTGTCAGAATAGGGTGGTAGTGCACAGGCACGCGATACCACATTTTAAGCAGTATTGAAGTAATTTCCAATACTGGTAGAGACAGAGATGTAACCTGGTTACTATGTATGAGTCCCGAATTCACATCCTGTGCGCTGCCCGTAGGTTGACGCCCAGAAACGCCCCGCACACAACAAAGTAAGAAAATACAGGCAGAGGGCTGAAAGGTCTCCGCAGATACATCGCCACACACTTATAGTGCGTTAATACATGATGAGTGAGAGGGATTATGTTGGTATGAGTTTATACATTGTTTTTTTTAGGAAACTCCTGTTTAGCATGCCTTCAAATACACGGTCATTAAAATGTCTTATCTCCCCTCTAGCACTCAGTGGCCATCAACTCAGGCTTCAGGAACTCTGGACTCACTGTCAGCAAGACAGGAAAAATCATCTCGGTAAGCTTTGTGACTTAAACTAACCTAAAGTAAGTAGTAAACTGTAAGGATGGGAGATACCAAACTTTTTAATTTCATGATTGTTGTCCGATTGTTACAATTATAAAGATACCATCAACAATACTAGTCTAATACTAAAATGATTGATCACAAATGCAAGTATCAAAGTATCAATCCTGCAGGATCGATCCAACCATCTCTAGTAAACTGAACTTTGGACAGTCCATGCAGTAGAAATAGCCCTGTGCTTTGCTGCATGTGTTGCTTGTATATACTGTGTAAAAGGTGTATCCTTGCTGTGTTTTGTCCCCATAGGCAGTCCGTAGCACCCACGGCCTGGAGGTTCCTCTCAGTCATGAAGGAAAGCTCCTAGTTGAACACGAATACATACATTTCCTGGCTCAGATAGCCAATGAGAAGATGGAGGAGAACCTCAGACGGATCCACAGGTCAGTTTGCTATATGCTATCTCTCCTATTCAGTGATTGGTAAAACGGAAAACACTGGCGGTTAGCCACTGCACAAACACCCCTGCTGCAGGAAGCTCTGGTTTGAATGTTTTTATTTTCACCTTTCACCTCCAGGTTCTACCAGAATCTCCAGTCAGCCCTGCCTACAGAGAAGCTCCAAAGACTACAAATCCCAGATCCCCCCGTGTCACAGGAACTACAAGATCCCCCTCACAGACTGGAGACAGAAAAGGAGAAGAACGAAACAAGTGTGTATAAAAGGAGGCGGAAGAGAGAACAACACCAGCAGACTGACTGTTGCCATGGCGATGGGTCCAGCAGCCAGGTGCCAGACCTGGACGACTGTCTGGATCTGTTCACGTGAAGCAGTGTCGCTGCTAACACACTCCATCACTGCCTGGATATTAGTGTTTTAGTCATTATTCATTTTATTTGAGAGAGCTGTCACAAAGAAGATCACCATGGTAACCTACACTGCACTAACCTCTCTGCTCTGCAGCAGGTTTAAGTCTGACGAATCAGCTCACTGGAATAATGGATGCATCATTTCTACAGGATCCCAACATGGACAGAAGTACTGTGGTTACAATAAAATGACAAGTAATGAAGACAGTTGTATACAACAGGAGAATCACTTTGCTTCCCACAAAAAGAAACTGTCTCTCTTTTTAAAGGTCCACTGTGTAACATTTAGGAGGATCCAT